AGCTTGTCATCTCGCATCTTATTTGCCACAATGTTCTTCTCTCTGGCCTTGACAGATGCAATCTTGCCTTGGTCATGTCTATTCAGGCTGCTGCTGCTGCAGTTTGTCTTCCTCAGTGTTGCTTTGACTACAGTATTTTGTTGCCATTTGTGTCATTCTATTGGCCACCCCCTCCTTACTTTATGTTATCCAGCAGCAGCTGCTTCTGTTTGCTTTCAGAGCCCTCTATGGGCCTGTTCCCTCCCTACTGATCACTTCTAATTCAGTTTTGAAAGGTTGATTCCCACCTCCAGTTGGGCTATGCTGTCTCCATTGCTTACGACTTTCCCTTGTCTTGCTCCTCACAATTGGACGTGCCTTGCTGTAGGCACCCACAAAGTCATTTCATTGTTCTTCAAATGTCTCTAAGCCCCGCCTCAACCATGATGTCGACAAAGAAATGCAATGAGGAATGTGCTGCCAAGACCACTCTCTACTGTGCTGATCAACCTTGTCTTGTTATTTCATTGCATTTTCCCCATCTGCCCAAATCCATCTATCCTCTGTCTCTTGTTGTCTTAGACCCAAAAACTTATAAGTGAAGTATAGCAGTTCTGGGTTGTAATATGTGACTAGGACTCCTCAATACTATGATGAAACTTTGTTATAACAAACTCCAGCTTTTTAACAATCCTAACCAGTTTTGGGGTGCAGCAGATTGACTAACCTTATTATAGCGAACACCTCCTAGTAGACTTTCTCCCAGTCCCATGGGAATTTTATTATAATATGGTTCTTGTAAAAAGATCGTCAGCTATATTGATCCACTCTGTTCCAGGTCTGTGGAATGGGTGAGGAGGGGAGTGGAGGGAAATATCTGGAGCTTTCTTTGATATGGAGAGAGCTCCCAGGTGCCTTTAAAGATTTGGAGGTAAAGAAAAGGTAAGGCTGGCTCAACACCAGCGTGGTGGTTAGTGTAACAGTGTTGTGGGGGAGGGAGGCAGAGGATGGTTAGGTAGGTCTAGTTCTCAGTGTCACTCTTTGAGCTGATGTCAAGAAAAGAACTAGATAAGGTTCCTCCATAGTGATGTCCAGGTTAAATATAGCATGTCACTTACTGCTAAACTTTTCATGCCCTGATGAGTATCTTACTGGTTAAACTGGCTTTTCGTGTCTAGAATCTCTCTCAAACTGTTTCTGCAGAATAAGTGGCTTTTCCTAAGGGCCTCAGAGTTACCAGCAGGATCAGATTCCAGGGGAGCAAAGTGATTTAAGAATGAGCACGTATTGCCTCTGTTGTGGCAGCCAAGCCTTTCTGAAAGTGAAATCAGATTAGAAAGTCACACAGCAGAGACCAGAGGGAATGGCCTCTTTCCCCCAGGAGCTCAGGGCTGCATTTCCGTCTTGTGGCGATGCATATCTTGGAAGGCACTGAGGCCTGCTTGTGCAGAATACCATGCCTGTTTTCCCAAACGTTGCTTACAAATGACAATTAATCAGTGACTTCCAAGAAGCAGCATCTTTTGGTGAGGAGAGAAGAAAACAAACTGATGCATAGGACACCACAGAACAATTAAGGGGAGGGGATACTTAGGCTGAGTCCACCAAAATTAACTTTTTTTTTTTTTTTTAAATTGAGTGTACTACAGGATTTTTTTGGGTTTGGACAAGGATTTTGAAGGTCTCATACGAATGATCCATGCAGTAAACTGAAAGGAAAGCTGTTTGGTAGAATAGGTATAGTCCCTGTAGTGGGGGAAGAAGGTGTATGGAGGATGTTGCCTGCCATGGTTCCCCTCTTGTGTGTGGCAGGTTAGGGTGCTAGGCCTGTGTTGTCAGGGTTGATTGGTAGTTATGTAGAGTTTCGATTATGGTTTGCATTAGGTTTCGATTAGGATGGTTTGGATAGGGATAAGGGGGTTGGACTACACATCCCTTCCAGCCCTACTTCTCTACGATTTCTATCGTAATGGGCAAGTTGCAAGCATGTGGTATCCTTTGTATGAATTGATATTTGGATAAGATTGCCTTTTCCTGTAAATATTTAAATATTTTCTTTTTAAGCTGCCTTGAAAAATTCAGGCATAGGCATTTTAAATATGTATAGCAAAGGCTAAAAACCATCAGTTACTTTTCCTGGCAGAATTGGGATTACTGTTTCAAGTTTCTGATTACAGGATATATATTTTCATTTTTAATTCCTTGGTGTGTCTTCATTCAAATTACACCTTCCCTTGCCAGCAATATAGGTTACGTTACACCACAAAGTAATTACTAGCATCAGAGCTGCATGTTGTCTCTCTCTCTCTCTCTCTCTTTCTGGGCACTCAGTTGCCAGCAACACAGCGTGCAATGCTTATATCAGTGGGCTGCAGAAACATTAGAGACTGCTCATTTGTTCTGATTTCGTTGCCTATTTGCAGTTGAACTCTCAGGAATTTCATTCTGCCCAAGTGTGCAAGGAATTTCACTATTGTATGCGGTGTTTCTGGCTCAAAGTGGTTGCGTTTCAGTGTTGGATGAAGCGTAGTGTGCAGCTCTGAGCATATTTGAGTGGCATGCTGTTGATAAATCAATTAAACTTGTTTGTGTATTAGGAATATGATACTTTGTTACCTTATGTTACCTTTCTATTCTATATGAATAGAAAGGTAACAACTCAGACTTTTAAAAACAGAAAATCCCTACCATTCATATGCACACACGCACTCTAACTACTAGGTTCTGCTTTTATATATTTATATTATATTTATTATATTATCTATATTTTATATAGATAGTCATGATACACAGAAGAGTTTAGGATTTTAGAGTTTACACACACACACACACACACACACACACAGAATATATGTTTGACATGATATGTACACACATGCAAAGGTTTCTGCTTTGTTTCGAATCTATATATGCAGTAAGTACTGTGTGGGGAGGCAGAGTGGAGAAGCAGCAGAAAGAATAAAACCTCTTGCCTCCCTATGCATTTATGCTACGTGACTCAATTTTTAACTGATTGCTATAGTACATTACTTCCAAACACTGTTAAGGCAGCTTTACCTGCTGCTGAAATGCAGCCACTCTGAAGCAAGAGGGATGAATAGTTTTTAGAACTGAACTACAGCAGTAAAGTGTTTAAGCAGAACATAGTGGTTAGAATTCATTTGTGTGTGTAATGGCAGGGATTTTCTGTGTTTTTAAAGCTTGAGTTGTTACCTTTCTATTCCCAGGGGCCTAACCATGGTAACTTTCTTTTTCGGGACAAGGCAAGCAACTATGGCTCCCTCCACCAGCTATCTGTCATTCACAAATTTCATTGACCACAGGTGTCACTGGAAGCTCTGCAATTATATTTGTCATCCCCCTCTTCCCCCATAACTTTTCAGTGGTGCCAAATCCTGGCCCAGAATGTGAGGAATCTAGTTTTGTCCGGCAAAATGCTGCACTTGATCTCTGAGCTTTCTGTAAATGGGCTTTGCCAGTACACGATGCACATTTCATTGCTTCTAGTCAAAATACACATCTTCTGTTGTGACTCCCAGCTGCTCTGGGGAGAAAATTAACATAATCACTATGGCACCAAAGCTCCTGTGTAATCATGAAAGCCATTACCCTCTTTTACACTTACTAAATGAAACCCTGGGGAGAAAATCCTGATTTTTGCACGAGTGAAAACCTCTTGCTTCTTGAAAAGCATAATGCAATCTCAGCAACTATGAAACTACTGCAGGCTGTGGAAAGAGCAAAAGGCTGTCCAGATGCTGGTAGGAACAAAACTGGCTCAGCAGGTATTGGCCTGTGACAAAGATGGCTCCCTGGCTGCTTTCTCCAATGGCATGTTTAATCCTGCTCTGCTGTCTGTTAGCAGCTGTTGGCAGTTCAAAGGGATTAGTTCTGTCTCCCTCTCCTCCCTGTGTCCTGGGGCTAAAATGAGATTACAGTTATGAAATGGTGTGGTTGACTAGGTGTGAAGTAGTTTGGTAGTTACGTGTGGGGTTACCATACATCCGGGTTTTCCTGGACGTGTCCTCTTTTTGGGTCCTCCCATCTCCGTCCAGGCAGTTTTTTTGTTTTTTTTTTAAATATCAGCAAATGTTTGGGATTGTGCTCTGCTCAGGATCAAAGTTTTTTTTTGTTTGTTTGTTTGTTTTTTCCCCAGCGCTTCCTGGCTTGCCCTAGCAAGGAGTTGCTTGGGGCTGGGGGGAGCGAGGGAAGGCAATTGGAGGCAGGGGGCGCCATGTGCATCTGCGTGCACATGCACATGGCCAGCATGCAGCCAGGCAGGGTGGTGGGAGCAGCTGCATGCAGGTAAGTCTATGGGGGGAAGTGGTTGAAGGGCCAGGGCTTGGGGACTGTCTGGGGAGGCTGTGTGGGTGTGTGAGCGGAGGGTGGGTACCTGCCAGTGCTGGGGGAAGCTGTCTGGATGCTAGGACTACAGCAGGGCAGGGGAGGTGGGGGAGGCACCTGCCCCACCAGTAGGGAAAGAGGGCATAGGGACCCTTCTGGGAGCAGCAGAGAGCTGCGTGGCCCAGCCAGCAGGGCTGGTGCATGTGCTCACAGGGGCAGGGCATCCAGGAGACCCTGCGGGGCGGGGCGGGGGGGGGGAGGGGAGGGGAGGGGGAGGGAGCTGTTGGTTGGGAGTGAGGGGCACCAGGGGATGGGGGATCGTGGGTCAGTAGCGTGGTGCCAGGGGGCTGTGGGTTGGGATTGAGGGGCAGCAGCATGGTCTGGGGGTGGGGTACTATGGGTCAGGAGTGAGGGGCAGCAGCAGGGCTGGGGGGAGCTGTGGCTTGGGATTGAGAGGCAGGGGCAGGACCCTGGCATATCACTGTCCCCCCCACAATCATATTGCCTCCAATCCCCAACCTCAACAGGTGTCCTCTTTTTTGAAACTGGAAATATGGTAACCCTATTGGGGTTCCACTGCTTAGTGGTGAAAGTTTCTTGGTTGCTCTTCATCACAGCAGAGGCGCTCTGGTTTTGTGTTTGTTTTAACTCTCCCATAAACTCTTTCTCCTTGGCAGCTGATCTGGAAAATGAGGAATGGTGTCTGAGTGCAGAGTTGACTTCATCATCCATAAAGACCGAACCGATATTGTGTGAGGCCTCAGGCCTTACGCCTTCAGTCAGCCTCAATGTCATACCTGTGTCGCTGGAAGGTGAAGATGACCAGACAGATGACACGGTACTTGGTTTTATATTTTCCAGCTTCCCTAGTTTTAGTGCAGGTTCCCACAATGCTTCGTATATCAGCATAGCATTTTTGATATCCAGGTTTGTGAACTCAGCCATGCTATACATTATGGTCTGGTGTTGCCAACCAAATACTGCAGGTATTTGTTTATTAACTGGTGTTTTCTAATGCTGTTAGCTGTGCCTGGGCAGGATAATAGCCTGCAGTTCATGCCTTTTTACAGATGCTCACTCAATCTCTGGTGAATCAGTTCTTCCTAGAATTGCTAATCCATTAGTCCTGTTGTTGAATTTGTGGCAAGCTACACACCCTCCATCGCCCATAATGACTTGCCTCCAAAGCTGTTAAAAATCGCTTTAA